GGAAAGAGTATGCCCACACCACCATACTGACTGTAGGAGCCATACTTACTATCTTGTTACATTTTTCTATATGTTCATTTATATATTATATTAGTTTGCTGCTATATTGTTAATGTTGTTTATTTATCTGAGTGTGTGCCCTCTATAGGTGTGAAGAGAAAAATGTTTAAAAGGATATGCCACCCCTGACAGGAGGGGGGTGCTGGTGTGAGAGCATACGGTCTTTCGACCGTGCGCATGGAGCTAAGATGGCATGGTGCAACAAACCTGCAATTAGCCTTTTAAGTTTTTGTTTGTTTTATGTTGTAATTCAAGTTAATTTTGGTTTAATAAACTTCAGTTATTGTTTGGAACATAAACAAGCCTTTCTGGATCTATTCATGGTGTGTTGCACGCGTCGGATTATTGCATCAACACCTCCCACAGTAGCCAAGAAACAAGGGACAAAATAGGAAAGTTGAAGCTTGTTTTTACAACTACAATATGTCGAAAGATTATGCTTTGAAAGTGGAACTTGTTCGAGAAAAGGATTAATTTTGTACTTGAATGGAATGGATAGACTGTTTGAGACCACATGGCATTGGAGACTGCAAACAAAGGAAACTTCTCAAAGAGGTATGTGCTTGAGTATGCAGTTTGCTGAGCTAATACTGAGTTAAATTGAATGTTATTGGAAAGACTTTCAAGTTTGATACTGCAGACAGTGGATGAAAGAATTCATTTGATGGAAGAGTTCAAAGATCTTGATGTGTCATTTTTAAAGAAGAATCAAAGGAGATTTGAAAAAGTTTTGTCTTTGGAAAGAAGATATTTGCTTGTTTGAGGCAAAATGGAGGAGTCTGATGTAGAACAATCCCCTAGCTCGGCTCAGAAGGACTGCTGGTTTAAAAGCCTCCAGAGCAGGCAAGATGGCACATCTTACAAGGCGAATGAATATTGTTTATTCTTTGATGGCTGATGCTGAATATTTGGAAGAAGTAAAGGAGAACATGTTGAAGTTCAGTGAACAGCTTGTTGAATTCAAGTCTCTTCAAGAATCCTATGTTCAAGTGTTAAGTGAAGAGGATAAAGCTTGAAGACTTGAAAACCTGGTATGAACCAAGAATGAAGCAGTTTGATACATTTATTTCTACTGTTGAAAGGTGGATGTCTACTGTTCAAGAACCTGACTCTCAAGCCAGTACTCAAGTTTCTTCTGCTCTAAAAGTCACTGATCAAGTAAATGAGGAAGATAATGCCTCAGTGGTTTCGTCTGTGTGTAGTAATAGATCTGGCAGGTCCAGCAGATCAAGTTCCAGCAGAACAAGTGTGTCAACATCAACTTCAGCATGTATCTCTGCAGAGGCAGAGAGAGCAGCATTACTTGCAAAAGCCAATGAACTGCAACAAAAACATGCTACAGAGAAGGAATAAGAAGAACTTAGAAAGATGAAGGAGGTATGGGAAGTTCAAGCAGAAATTGCAGCCACCACAGCTAAAATTGAGTATCTCAAGAATGCTGAAAACTCTAACAAATGACAATGTGGTCACCAAAGATCCCATGAATGCGTATAGTGAGGAAATGTTGAATAAAACCCCACCAAGTGCTACAAACACACAAGAAGCAAGGTCAAAAGAGACTTTTCATGTACAGCTCTCTACAGCACCAACAGCACAAAGTGTGACTGTGACTTCAAGACATTCTTATCCAAAGAACAGTAATGCAGTTCAACAACTCACCACTGTGAATACTGATGCCAAATCATCAGTACAAATCTCTCATTAAGCTAGAACAAGCAGAGAATCGTCTTCATCTAGTAACATTCAAGGGTCTGATCTTGCTACGATTCTTCAAAGACAAAACAACCTGACAGACATGCTTGTGAAACAACAATTTCTTTCCACCTTACCTAGGGGAGAAATTTCTGTTTTTAATGGAGATATTCTGCAGTACAGGGCATTCCTTCATTCTTTTGAGCACATTATAGAAAGTAAAACTGATCACAATGAAGACAGATTGCACTTTCTCATTCAGTACACAAGAGGGCTACCACAGGAACTTGTAAGAAGCTGCCAACACATGTCTCCGAGCAGAGGCTACCAAAAGGCAAAGCAGCTGTTGAAAGAACACTTTGGTAATGAATATAGGATCTCATGTGCTTATATCGAGAAAGCACTCTCCTGGCCTTCAATTAATCAGAAGATCCAAAAGCTTTACAAGCCTTCGCATTGTTTCTTAGAAGCTGCTGCAATGGCATGGAAGACTTAGAGTTCATGAAAGAACTGGACACAGTCGCCAATATGAGGAGTATCGCTCTCAAGCTCCCATACAAGCTCAGACAGAGATGGCGAACAAAGGCATTCGAGTTACAAGAACAAAGGAGTCACAAGGTAAAGATGGTAGATCTTGTCAGCTTTATTGAAAAACAAGCTAACATTGTCTCAGACCCAATATTTGGTGATATCCAAGACTCAAGCCCAGGTAAAGGAAAGCCCAAAGTGCTAGTGAAGCCCAAATCCAAAAGCAGTTTTGCCACCAATGTGCAAGTAAAACCACCACAGACACCAACTAAGGGTTCACCACCACCATCATGCCTTTACTGTAACAATGGACATGAATTAATGTCATGCTTGCAGTTTGGAAAGCAGCCACACAGGGAAAAGATAAACTTCATAAGACAGAATGGAATCTGCTTCGGGTGCTTGACCAAAGAAGGACATGCGAGTAAGGACTGCACAAAGCATCTTACCTGCACCATATGTAACAAACAGCATCCAAGTGTACTACACATCAAACCACTGGAATCATCCAAACAACTAAAGAAAGCGCCTGTGAGTAGCACACAGGTATCCCTTCAAGATGGTAAGCATACTGGAGTCAGAAAAACACAGAGCTACACAGAGTGCCTGCTGTCGATTGTACCAGTACAGATTAAAAGTTCAAAAGGAAGTAAGATTCTGCACACATATGCCTTTCTTGATCCTGGAAGTTCGGCAAGCTTCTGTACAGAGAATCTTATGAGGAAACTCAACATTACTGGAAGAAAGACTAATATTCTTCTTCAAGCGATGAGTCAGGTTAAGTCTGTGCCCTCTTATATTGTCAGTGGGTTGGAAGTTTCTTCACTGGAAGAAAATGACTTTATTCCATTGCCTGAAATCTACACACAACAGAGCATGCCCGTTGACACCTCTAACATTCCCACAAAGGAAGAACTGTCTAAATGGCCTTACCTGAATAAGGTACAGATTCTTAGGATTCCAGCCAAGGTGGAGCTGCTGATTGGAAGCAACACTCCCAAAGCCATTGAACCTTGGGAAGTCATTAATAGCCAAAGGGATGGGCCATATGCAGTTAAGACCCTGCTAGGGTGGGTTGTTAATAGTCCTTTACAAGGCAAAGCCACAGCAAACAGGTATAGCTGTGTTGTTGTTGTTGTTGTTGTTAACAGAATTTCTGTCTCAATCCTTGAAGAAATGTTGAAACAACAATACAACCATGATTTCAATGAGAGGTCAAGACAAGACAAGGCTGAAATGTCTGTAGAAGACAAAAGGTTCATCAAGATTGCAGAACAGTCAATCAAGTTGAAAGATGGACATTACACTCTTGATTTACCCTTTAGGAAGGAGGACACAGTATTGCCCTACAATTACCAAGTGGTAGAACAGTGACTTCAAAGTCTGAAAAGAAAGTTCAAGAGGAATGAACAATTCAAAATCGACTATA